CCTACGTAATTCAAGCATCAGCAAAGAATGTCGGCTTACAACAAAAGACAAGCGTACAATATCGCTCCTCGGGGCCTTATCTAAAAGCGTCATAATGAGCAAATGGCATCTTATAGAAAATCAACCGTTGCTGAGAGAGATCTTTAAAGATCCTCCTATAATATCACACAAAAAAGGAAAGTCATTACAAGATATACTTGTGCGAGCCAAACTATGAAGGTCAAAGATACAGCAATTGGACCATTATGGAGGAGTCGTATATGGGACAGTCAACATTACATACTGATACAGTATAACACTTATTAAAATTAAAAGTAGTTTAAAAGAATCGTTGTAATAAATAAATTTGAATGGTAAAGGTGACGTTTAAAGGATATGTTGTATATTTAATAAAACAAACTCGCAGCATCATTTTTCAATTAATTTAGTAGCGAAAAGGGCATGAAGCAAATTTTCTCCAAAAATAATTCCTACAAAGGGTTGCACTCCAAACAATTCTCGCACGGGCAATCGTAAAAGTCCCCCACTCCCCCAATCATTTTTCTAATGGTCTGTCCCTGATTGCTCAGTATCTGAAGCAATTTCGTACTATAACCATATATGACGTGCCAACTCACTCCTGGCGACCGCCCGCTGACCAAAAAGCCCCAGTGCACTGGGTACAGGATAAGATTGTATAAGATCACCAAAAAAGTGCTCAAACTGGGGGTGTTTGATAAAACATTTTTAATGTGTGTACATTCATTTGCGTATTATTACACATCTGTCAATCTATTAGAGCAGTAACGTAAATCTGTTTCATTTTGCGTTAAAGAAGTAAAAAAATCCATCTTTGAAATGCTTACAAACTCTGGCGATCGACGTAATGATTGGTGATGTCATTGTCGTATAAGGATCTATAAGAGAAAACTCACTCATCTGAAGAAAACTCCCATGATCATTCAGTGACTAACGCACAAAAAAATCAAGCAAATCTCTGTCTATTTCGATGATCAGACTGAATAAAAAACTCCTGACAGTTAGTTAAGGATTAATCCTGATCCTGCATTTGTCGGCGAACAAGGTCAGCGTACAGTCCGTTTCTTTCCATCAGTTCTTGATGTGTTCCCACCTTCAAAGGAAAAGTACATAGCTAAATGAATTTTACAGATTACACTGTATACAGTAAATCTAGACGGGCTACAATACATCGAATTGTAATAATCGGTATAAATTGCTGCCTCTATAACGTAGCAATCAGCACGCAAACAATACTGAGATTTCACAGTTCTGTTGATCTAACGTATTTGTTAGATTTGTTAGAAGTTTGATCGCCGAGTTAATACAAAAGCCGCTTTGGAGAAAAGTATACATGTGATGAAATTATTATTTTTTTTCTTGGCACAAGAAACCATAATTTATCGCATAGTGGACTTGCGCAACCCTTCCCACATCTTTCTAGACGATGCACAAACACTCTGATCCTTTAAGAAAACACCCGCATATTTACCTCTCTTATGTTGCCGTGAGACAGAACCACAATCATATCTGTTGCAAGGACAAAATATAGTTCAGGTTAGTAAAAAAATAAGTTCATCTATATAAACTACTATTCCTCTTTAAAAAGTAGATCAGCTTCAAGTAAATAATAAATAAATGAATAATGATTTGGAGGTAGCACATCCACAAAATGGTTCTTCGTCTACATGGTTCCTGGTCGAATTGGAATACGGAAATGCTGGTTTTTGAGGAGAGGGGAA